TAAATTTAAACTTATTTCTAAAAAATGTTATCCAATAGATGGAATTTTTATCTTAAATTTCCATTGCTTTTATGCATTTAAAAACAGTGAAGTGATGACTATAGATAATGATAAAATAGTATACATTTCAAAAAGCTAAGATTTTGAAAGCTTTCACCATAAAAAGATGTTATGTTTAACCTGACAAACATTACACTACGCATACATGTATGAAAATTTACATTCTCTCATTAATATGTACAATTTTTGTTTTAGTTAAAAATGTTTAAAAAGCTCAATTAAAAGCCCTATGAAGTATACAGCCATATTTTTCCATCTTAATTTTTTTGCATGAGTCAATTAAATTACTGAGATATATTTTGGCTTTTGGTGTAAAAGCAGGCTTGTGCTGGATTTCCCCCCCAAAAACATTCTCAACATCAATGGCTATAGAATTCTTCCCTCTCAGAGTTAGAACTGAGTCTACAAGTAGACTCAGTAGTAGTCTGAGACTATAAGAACCTTGAGTGCGGTATGGCACACCTGACTCTCAGCAGTCTGGGAGGCTAAGGCAGGAAGATTGCAAATTCAAGCCCAGTATGGGCAATTTAACAACTTACCAAAAACTTGTCTCAAAAAAGCAAATTTGTTTAGAAAGGGTTAGGGATGTAGCTTAGGGTGAAGGTATGGATTGAATCCATCTCTAGCACTGCAAAAACAAAACAAAACCGTGAGACTGTTGAGAATTTGGTGGGACGCTGCACTGTGAGCAGATTCAAGGTAGGTGAGATTTTTTAGTCCTTTCCACTTATGATCTCTTCTGTAGTGGGCAGAAGGTTCCAGTCCGACACTGGTGACAGCCAAGTCCTTTCACTGAAGTGTTGGAGGAAGGTTTCACAGGCAGTGTCTGGACTACCCTTCGCTCAGTACAGAGATAAGCAAGTCTTGCCAAAGAAGCACCTGGATGTCACTTGTCTCAGGTGGGCTTCTTCGTAAATGTTCTTCAGTCTTCCCCAGTTCCCCACGCTCTGTGACCCCAGCCTATACTCCCTGCACAGGGCAGCAGTGGAAGCTACAGTGAAAAGGCTGGTGAGGGTGCCCAGACAAGCATGAGCCCATGCAGCCCCCATCGCCCTTCCTGTGGCCATCAGCATGCCCACTCCCCAGGCTGTGCTCCTCCAGGAGGAAGCTGCCCCCTCTGCAGGGAACTGGAACCCAAAGGGCCCGGGCCTCTCTCTCTGCATGGTATTGGTGATTGACCCCAGGGCACTGAGTTATACCCCCAGCTCTTTTTTAGCTTCTGTTGAGACAGTGTTCCCTAAGTCACTAAGTTACCCAGACTGGGCTCAAATTTGCAATCCTCCTGCCTCAGCCTCCCAGAGAAGTAGGATTATAGGCATGCACTATCATGTCCAGCTTCTCTATAAAGGAGACCACACTGCTGTGGCCAGTCAGGAGGGCTGAGGCCCATGGGAGGACTGGGAAAGATGAGAAGGGCAGTGTTTTCCCTCTTGGGGGTGAATGACTCACAGGGATGCAGAGAAAGGGGAAAGGCTGGGCTAGTTGGATGAGCAGAAGCTTTCCTGGGTTGTTACGCTGTACACCACACAGGCACACACAAGGAGGTAAGGTGCACAGGTTCCATTTTTCTTTGGGGGGCTGGCTCATTCTTAAAGCTGGGGTATGAATCCCACTGGCCTGCTCACACAGCAGCTGCTCCACGGAGGCAGGCAGCACGATGGAGGGGAAGAGCAACCGGCTGGGTGCAGGGTGGAGGTGCTAGGGGGCGCTCAGGGAAGCACCTGGGGGAGCATTAAGCAGTGCTAGGCTGAGGAGGCCGAGAGGCACTCTGCACCTAGCTGTCAGGCAGCGTGAGAGCTCGGCCCTTCCAGCATCCTGCAGTCCTACCAGGATGCCCTTCATACAGGCGGTGGGTTCCTTCAACTCAGAGGAGTCCCCTTCCACCCATGCACAAAGGAGGTACTGCCATAGCAGCCCCCCCATTGCTCCCCACTGAGCTGGTAAAGAATATGTCACTGGAACCACAGGAAGAGGTAGGGACCACAGGGAGGAAGGGCAAGCTAAGTCTGGCCTCATTTCACAGATGAGGAAGTTGAGGCAAGAGAAAATCTTCCCCAAGGTCATGCAAGTTTGGCTGGTGACCCCTCCTTCAACTTCTAAGGACCCCAACCCTCCATGGGCCTGAGATGGAACACCTCTGTCTCTGTGTAGGGAACAGAGCAATACCCTAGAGAAGGTGGATTTCCTGGAGGGCATCCCCACTCCCTGCCACCGCCAAACAGGCTCCAAAACTTATCCCATGTGTTCTTCAGGGCATCAACCACCCGACTCAGAGCCCGGAAAATCAAAAGGGTAGCTAATGTCACCATGCAAGGAAGCAGGGCTGGCACCCACATTTAGCCCCAAGACCACCACATAAGGCCTCGGAGACAATCCTGTAACTGCTCCAAATGGAGAACAGGAAATAGAATGGTATGTATAAGGCAGAGAAATCATGGTTCCAGGGTTGGTGGGGGTGGATCTGGGTTCGAGTCTTGGATCCATCTCTTGCCGTTTGTGAGAACTGAGACAAATTTATTTATTTTAATGAAGGTAAAGAACACAGAATATTTGTTAGTCTCCTTAAGCTTCAATTCTTCATCTGGGGTTGGTGGAGGATTAAACAAAATTTAAATGAGTACAAAGATTACCAACAGTAGTTACTGATTCTGCAGTAGCATAAACACTGCCAAGACTGAATCTAAGGCTCAAGGGCCCACCCCATGAAGCTCCCCAGCAGCAGATGGGGGCAGCAGAGGAGTTATTTCCACCCAATACCTCAGTCGAGCCCTGGAGAGCAGCATCTGCTGGGGTGGCTCAGGGCTTGGAGGAACAGCTCCAGAGACATCTTCACAGAACATGCTGTAGGAATAGCACCCCCAACTGCAATGGGGCCCCTTGGGCCTGTATGTGATAATACAGCAATCTGTTTTCCCAGCATGACATCACAGTGGTGAGTTAGGTGGTTTATCTCCACTGGTCAGGGGACCTTAGTAAGCAAATCAGCTAATATGTGTTGAAAGCAGGACTCAAACCCAGACCTCAGATTTGAGTCCCTTCTCTGCCAGGGCTGGACTGGACTCTCCCACTCAGCCTGGTTTTGTTGTTTTTGTTTTTTTTGAGACAGAGTCTCACTATGCAGTTTAGGCTGACCTGAACTCACTATGTAGCCCAGGCTGGCCTCGAACTCATGGCAATCCTCCTGCCTCAGCCTCCCGAGTGTTGGGATTATAGCGTGTGCCACCATGCCCGGCTTCTCAGCCTACATTTAAAGGCTCCCTCCTGAATGGGCTGCCCTGGGCTCCCCGACCCCAAGGCAAGGCTGCTGGGGAGGAGCTGAGCCAAAGGTGGGCCGCCCCTCTTGGACCTCCAAGAATGTGGACTGAAGTATCCCACAGGGCTGTGGTTCCTAATTAGCTACACACAGGCCTCCAGCCTCAGCACCTACTTCCTGCCTTCACATCCTGGGCCTGGGGGTGGCAGGTGGGGGAAGGAGTCCCCAGCACCCTCCCCGCTGGTCTCTATGCCTCACAAAGCATTTACCACAACCTGGGATTTCTTCATTCTCCCCTGTCTGCTCTAGAATGTAAGCTCCAGAACAGAAGGGACTGTGTCTTCCCTATCCTCCTCCCAGCCTGTAGCCCGGTGCAGCCCTGAGGAAATCTTTAACACTTAAATGAAACCTCTTTGCTTAGTTTTTTTTTCTTTTTTTAATTCACTTTCTTTGTTACATGGCATGTACTTTGTCCTTGAATACATTTTCTTCCTTATTTTGCTCACTAACACCTAGCCACCTTTCAAAGCCGAGCTCGGCTCTCATCTCCTTAAAGAAATCATTCCTGAACCCTCAGGAGGTGGCATGCTGGACAGAGGTGAGTTTCTTTGTCAGATCTGAGAGAAAGGATACTCTGCTTTGCAGGGCTCCCCTGGGGACCGTTCCGTGTCACAGGAGCCACCCCAGGGACAGAGAAAAACAAACCTAGAAAGTCGCGCTAGACACAGCAAGCCCCAGCTCTGGCCTAGCAGGCTGGGGTGGGGAGGGGACCAGCTGGTAGGCAGCCTGGTTTATCAAAACTGTGGACAAGACCTCTGGGGAAATCAAGGTGAAAGGCAGTGGTCTGCTGAGGAGGCCCACCCGCCTATCAATCAGAGCAGCTGGGACAAGAAAAGAGGAAGGCTGGCTGAGGGGGAAACCCACACCTCCTAAGTGGGTCCCCAACAAGGTCTGCCCCCCATCTGGGGGCCTGTGGAGCTGGAGCACCGCACAACAGTCAGCACTTCCAGCAGAGCCGCCTCAGGACTCAGCAAGAAGACTCAGCACCGAACCCAACCCAGGAGAGAAAGAGGGAGCAGGCGAGTCTCAGGCAAGAGTCTAGGGCTGCGCAACTGAAGAGGTCAAAGAACACATGCGGGGAGGAGGGGAGGGGGCCCTCCCTGCCCACCCCCCCCACCTCCGCTGCCCCAGTGCAGGCGGTGTCCTTGGCATCCCACCTGCTCCACCCAGCGCCCAGGCTGTCTGAGCTGAGTGAAGATGTCAGAGAAAACCCAAAGCGGATTGAGACTCCTGCTCCCCTTAATGAGGTTCATTATCAGCTGCTCTGATCCTTGTAAACCCCAGCAGACTGGATTAGGGGCAAGCTCCCTAATCCCCACGGACTCCTCCCACTCAGCAGCCCACCAGGCCTCCGACAAGCAAGCCTCCCTGCTGGAGGAAGAGCTGAGACGGGAGCTCCTGGGGAGGCAGGGAGAGCAGGGCGGTACGTTACTGAGGCTGTCCCCAGAGCACATGGAGCTGTGGGTACTGGGGTGCACAGCACGCTGTGGGCAGTGGAGGAGGGCACCCTCTTCCATCTAGGAGAGAAGTGTGCTGGCTGGACGCTAGGTGAGGCTGGATGCTGTGCGGTCGGTCCAGACCCAGATACTCGGTGTCCCAGGAGCAAGTTAAAGAACACACAGGTGCCTGCCTTAATAAAAATAATTTATTCTACACCCCTCCCAAGTGGTGGGGTAGAGCGAGAATCAAGCATGTGTACAGCATTGCCCTGCCCTCTGGCCCTATGAACCTCTACCCGCTAGAAGATGGAAAGGAGAAAGAGGACACTGTCCCCTCCCAGCACCCTCCACATCCAAATGTTAGCACTGATTTTGGAGACTAAAATAAAGCACAAAAGACTCTGCTCAGAGGAGTACAACCTAACGAGAAGCCAAAGTGAATCCTTTCTCATGTCTTCTCTACAACCTCTCATCACTAAGCCCACAGCCAAGGTACAACAGATCCCAGCACCCTTCCCCATGTCCCCCACCATGTCAGCACCCAGCAATCGAGCCACGCATCCCACAGCCAGCAACTGCTGCCTGCCCTGCTGGACAAGTCCACACCTACCCCAACCTATATTCTTCTTGTAGCACAAGCCCTGGTCCTGGAGACCACATGACTTCCAGAAACCCACTCTCACCCCAAGCTAAACCCCACAGAGGTCTGAGGAGCTGGAGGCTGAGCGAGCCAGAAAGGGTCAGACGTAGCCCTTTCTTTTCAGGTGCAAAGGCCTCTTCATATCCAGAAGGAAGAGGAGTGGACGGATGAGATACCTTGGAAACTGGGCTTGCTCGCCCCGATTTAGGGCTAAGGCCAAGCAGGAGAGACTGAGGCTTCATCACGAGTGGGACAGGGCTTCAAAAAGCTGAAAAACAGGAATTTGGTGCTGAGCAGCCAGAGCCTGTGCCGTCCTAAGCCCCCTGCCCAAGGCTGCCCTCCCCTGCTGGTCAGCTGCACAAGGACCCAGTTCTTGTCTCTTCTGTCTATGGAACTCACCTTCCCAGCAGACACAGGGGGTTCACTGGAGCAACTGGCTCTCCTAGACTTCCCACCCTCCTGGGCTGGACAGCAGAAGCAGGGAAGGCAAGGGTTAGAGGACACCCATGGATGGCAGGCCCCTCGCCAATCAGATGGTTCAGGCTGCAAGGTGACCAGCATGGCCCTTCAGGACCCTCATTCTGGCCCAGAAGGTATACATGGCCAGCAAGCCCATGAAGGACAGGGAGTAGAGCCCCACACAAAGGCTGATGCCCAGGTGGGAAAAGTCCCTTCCCAGCACCTGCAGCCACTGGCCTTGGCCCCACATAACTTGGGCTTCTGGTTCCCTCTCAGGGATGCTGGCCAGCTGCTTGGAGCTGCGGACCCCTTGCCTCTGTTCTGAAAGGCCATGGAGGTGGTTCTCCTCCGCCCAGGACCTAGCCAGCAACACAGCCCCAGTGTCTCGCTTGCTCAAGTGCCGCTGCCCCTGGGGCTGCACAAGCACAGCCGTTGGGGCTTTGCCACATGCTCAGGAAGCCCCTGCCCTGGCACAGGTCTGCTCAGCTGGAGGCCAGCGTGCAGCACCCGGGGGCCACTTGCCTCAGGTCTCTCTGCTGGAATATCTGGCTCAGCAGTGCTTCCAGTGGACGCTGCGATATTGGCTGGCTCAGGGGCCAGCATTGAGTCTCTGGTCACCAGTCCCAGAGCTCTCACCCCCAGGTTTGGGGGAGTGGCCAAACTGCGTGCACTGCGCCGGGAGGCTGGTCCAGCTGGAGGGGCGTGTAGGACCATGTTTCCTGGGGAGAAGTGGGCCTTGAGGAAGCGCAGAGTGGCACCCACATCCCATACAGGCTCCCCGCTGAGTTCATTGTGACAGGCAGAGCAGAGTTCGCGGGGTGGCCACTGCACCTTGGGGAACTGCGGGTCCTCACTGGGGGCACCTGGGAAGAGAAGCGCACACAGGCTGTGACACGCCGGTTATCTAAGGTGCTCAACCTCACTGCTCCACTCAGAACACCAGCTCCTCACCTGCAGAAGGGTGCACATGCCTTCCCAAGGGGGAGCTAAGAGACACGCGTGAAGAACTTGTGTGGAGTCTGGCCTGCAACTGGGGGCTCAGCCAACGGCCCTTCTCCATGAGGAGGGTTCACTCACCCCGTCCCCGCACCTGCAGTTTCAGGCACTTCCTAGCAGCAACTAGACTCACTGTCCCTTTTTTGTTAGTTTTGCTGCCAGTTTGTAGCCCAGGTAAGAAATGCAAAAGGGCAAGAAGACTCAGAGCATCCCATTTCATACTCTTTGGTTGGTCCTTAGTGTTTTCATATTGTTCTGAATGTTATAGTGACGCCATATTACTTCTGCTAATTAAAGGGAAGTTTTTATTTTTTTTGAAGATCAATGCTTGTGGCAACCCGACAGGTCCTCCCCTCGACCCATGGCAGGCAGTGTGTAAGGGCACTGCGGTCAGGGTAAGCTTCCAGCGGGGTGTGGGAAGCCTGGAAATGCTGCACTGACCCAGAGCTGCACTGGCTGCAGGCTGCTGGCCCAGCACCACCCAGGAAATGCGTCAGCCCATCCCTCTGTAGGAAGTACCTCTCCTCAAAAATTTAACGAAGGAAAAAGTTGTTGACTGCTGTGAAATAGCGCAGCAACAGCAAGAGGTGTGAACATCAGAGCAGCGGTGACAAGGAACCAGTAAGTGGTTGTAATGATCAGGTCTTGCAAAGTGAGCGCTCAGTTTGTACCTGCTGATTGCTAGTTGGATTTGAAAGGACCCCACCAGACAGGTTGGGGGACTACCTAGCTTCTGGCCCCTGCGGAGGGGCCCTAACTCCTGGCCCTCAGGGACAGCTGGGAGCCTGCAAAACATGAGGCTGGAGGGTCAAATGGAGAATTTGGGGAAGGGAGGAGGGTTGGGCTGAGACACAGCAGGTGTCTTCTTTTCAAAGTCTGCCAGAGGCCCCAGGAGGGCACTGACCAAGTGCAGGCACTGCAGCACCACCTGCTGCTTTCACCCACTCCACCCCCAGCTCCCATCCTGGGAGAGCAGTCACAGCCCCACGGACAAGGGCCTCCATCCACAGATGGCTCCTCTCCACCCACCTTCCCGGGAGCCCAGTGCTCTTGCCTAGAGGACCCATCACACTCCTGTGAGTGTGGAAAGGAAGGCGCTGTAAGTGCCATAAATGGGGAAAACTCAGAAGACAAGGCTGCCCCTTACATGAATCAGCCGCTGGTACTTCTAGATCAGCGATGGTAAACCTTTTAGTGCTTTTAATGATAACAAACAGCCCAAAGTGGCACGTGTGCTGTAGGTTCACCATCACTGCTCGATCTTGGGTCTTCTCCAGTTCTATCATGAGAGCCTTCCCTACCTTTCTCCTTCCTGTTAGTTTGAGTAAGGGACCAAGTAAGCAAAGCTGGGGTGGCAGGAAAGACCCAAAAGGCCAGAAAGGAGGGCTCTGATGCAGGGGAAAAGGGAGCAATGGCATCACAGGACCATGGTCTTAGAGTTACAACCTTGGTTCCCTTACCTAGATGGGTCTCACGATACTGCCACTGATTACCAGGCCTGTCAGCATGAGCTGGGAAGCATAGGTATTAATGAGGGGACAGCGAATGTCCCCTATCTTTGGCCCAGGACCCCAAAGTACTCGCTCCCCTCCTAGGTGACTGCAGCCTTGAAGGTGGTGTCTTCAGGCAGGTGTCTTCTTTTCAAAGTCCACGGGAGGCCCCAGGAGAGCACTGACCAAGTGCAGGCACCGCAGCCTCCCCCGCCCCCGCTGCTGCTTTTAGCAACTCTAACCTGCAAGGTAAGCACCGACCCTGTTGTGGCTTCCTTACCTGCAAGGCGAGCATTGACCCTGTTGTGGCTCGTCCAGAGCCAGAGGACCGCATCATTCGGACTTCTCACCCCATGCATGGAGCCAGCAGCCATCTGTTCAAAATGGTTAGCACAGTCTCGGCAGCCGAAGAAGTAGTAGACATAGTTCCGGATGGCCTGGAGGACCTCCTGGCCATCGGCTACAGGAGAGAGGAGGAGCCATGCACAGGGAGCTTCAGGATATCTGCCCGACATTCCCTCCAGAGGCTGCCTGTCATGCCCAGTTCTGCCGTGGTCACCCTTGCACAGGTGCTTCACGTCCCAGTCTACGTGATAAGGGACCCAGGGTCTCCCTGTCTGCTTCTCCCTTTCTAGGGGCCACTTTGCTTATTTTTTTTGAGATACGGTCTCACTATGTAGTTTAGGCAGGTCTGGAACTCAGTGATCCTCCTGCCTCAGCCTCCTGAGTGCTAGGATTACAGGCACGCACCACCATGCCTGGCTAGGGGCCACTTTGGAGATGACTCTGTCTCCTCCAAAACCTCCCAGATCCTAGTTCTCCTTTGCTACCCACCCAGGCTCTCCTCATCTATATTCTTCAGCAGGACACTCAGGCTCTGTGACACGGCTGGAGAGTCACCAGGGGCCAGGGTGCTCCCACCCCGACCCCATGCTCCTCCTCCACCTGCCAGCCTCACACTTCCTGTTCCAGTTTGCTCTCCAACTCGCCTTCCCTCAGGAACCCTTTCTGCTCTAACCTGCACCCCCCCAATTTGTCTCTATCCCCCACTCAGTTCCCTCTCACCAGACCCTCTGAGTGACGGGCATCAGATCCCAAGTCTTCTGTTACTCCCTACCTCCTTGCTGCTCTTCAAGTTGTCCTTCCTCCCCAACGTGCCTCATTTACACCCTTGTCTCTCCTGTGCTCCATGCGCCCCAGCATTGCTGGTAGCCCCCAAACTCTCCTTCCTGGTGCACACCTCCCCGCCCCTTTAAAAAGCCAATTTCCTGCCCACCCCTCACCCACCAGGACCTCAACAGGCCACTCTCCACAGTATGTCACCCTGGCTACATCAGCGCCCACACCATCATTCCCCTCACCTACCTGGCATCCTCGGCTCCATCTCCTCCTACACCCACCCAAAGCCAGCGGCCACCTGCCCTGCAGATGTGCTCACAGCCTTCACCTCCCCTATTCTCTCCTCCCCTAGGACTAAATATTTTCTTCCCTGTATCACTAATTTCTCCCATAATATCCAATCCTTCCAACTGGTGAAAACAATGACAATAACAAAATGCCTTCTCTGACCCAGTTATTCCCTGCTTCTGCCTGTTTTCTGCAGTATCTTACCTTCTAGTCTCTGCCAGCTTGATCCAACTAGGCCATTATCTGCCCTCCCCCTCAAAAAATAAACCAGCTCTTGCCAGGGATGTCCTCATCTTGCAGCACCTCCAGCAGCATGTGCAGGGCTGCCTGCACCCTCCTTGAAACTGCACCGGCTGCCTCTTCTCAGGCTCATTCACAGGCTCCAGTTCCAAGCAGCTAAATGCTATAGGGCCCCAGGGCTCAGTTCTTAGCACTCTTCTCTACCTTCTACTAGGAAGCTCATCCAGTCCTGGGGCTGTGACTGTCAGCTATGTGTGGATGACCATAAAGCTGATTTCTTTAGCCTGTACTTCCCCACAGAGTCTAGAATTCAGACTCTACATTCAGGTGCACGATGGGCACATGAGACCACTGATTCTGCTGCCCCGCTTGGGGCCTTCCCATTGCTCAGCACATCAGGACCATCCACCAAGGCTCAGGTCCCACAACAATAAAGGGATCCCCCACCAACCACATGTTTGTTCCCACATATTCTTCCTCTACTCCCTCAGGAAGTCCATCTGCTCTGCCTGCATAACTTCCCTGACCTGGCCACTCCCTCCATCAGCACTCCCATCGCGCCAGTGCAGCCTGTGGCTCCTGGACCATTTTCACGGCTTCTTAGTTGGCTGCCCTGCCTCTCCACCCCCATCTCTACAAAGCAACCATTCTAAAACATTGCTCATATGTGCCACTCCCCCGTGAAACTGTCCTGGGTTTTTTTCTTATAAGCTGCAGGGTGGGAACCCCTCCCTTAGCAAGGCCCGAAGCCCAAATGCCCACCTCCCTCACTCCCTGGCCCTAGATACCATCTGATACTACAAAAACACACCAGACTTCTTTTCTGTATCTGCAGGTCCATGGTCTGTTTTATGGGTTGAATTTGTCCCCTCAAAATTAGTATGTTGAAGTTCTAACCCCAAGCACCTCACAATGAGACTGTATTTGGAGACAGGGTCTTTTCTTTTTGAGACAGGATCTCGCTTTGTAGTTCAGGCTGGCACTGAA